AATGACGTGCATCAAGGTCCTATTATGTTTAATGTATGTACCAAATTTGAATGAAATCCGTCCATGCATAACTGAGATCCGGGTCCGGAATGGTGAAAATGTGCGATTTCAATGCATTTTCGGCCTTAAAGCGGCCGCCATTTGGCTATCGTTAATGAGATCATGAAACAAATGCACATACATATTTGTGACATGATGTACCTTGTGTGTGTGAAGTTTGAACTCGATCAATCCAAGCATGTCTCAGATACGGATCCAGAACTGAATTCTTTAAAACAAAATGGCCGCCAGTCGGCCATTTCGAACCCGATCCCAAAAAAAATGACGTGCATCAAGGTCCTATTATGTTTAATGTATGTACCAAATTTGAACAAAATCCGCCCATGCATAACTGAGATCCGGGTCCGGAATGGTGAAAATGTGCGATTTTGATGCATTTTCGGCCTTAAAATGGCCGCTATTCGGCTATCGTTAATCGGATCATGAAAAAAATGCATGTGCATATGTCCCATATAATGTGTGATGTACGAGTGAAGTTTGAACTTAATCGGTCCATGCATGTTCGAGATACAGGTGATCACGGACGGACGGACGCACGAACGGACGGACGCACGGTCGGACGGACGCACACAGGGCAAAACATAAGTCCCCGTTTTCGGACTGCGTCCGAACGGGGACTAACAAGCAGCCTGTCGGCTGAGATAGCTCCGCTGTTAGCAATGCACATTTCAATTAAAGAACAGAAGATATCATTTGAAAATGAACAATATGTATAGTATCAAAGCAACAGGACTTGCTGTTTTAAACAAGAATTCAAAAATATATTTTTTCACCAAAAATAATCATTAAAATTAGATAATTGAAGATACATGTATCACCACGAAATTACCAAATCTGAATAAGGTCCACATGTAGTACCTATATATGTAATATAAAAGCAATCAGACTTGCGGTTTTCAACAAGTAGTCGAAAATATCACTTTTCACCAAAAATTTACAAAATATTCACTAAAATTGAAGAATTAAAGATATCATCATGAAATGAACAAATCTGAGGGAGGTTTACATGGAGTACCTATATATGTAATATCAAAGCAATAGGACTTGCGGTTTTTAACAAGAAGGCGAAAATATCACTTTTTACCAAAAATGACAAAAATATTCACCAAAACTAGAGAATTGAAGATATCATCATTAAATGAACAAATCTGAGAGGTCTACCCAAGGTACATATACACCAAGTATCAAAGCATTCAGGCTTGTAGTTTTCAAGAAGAAGTCGAAAAAGTAAAACATTGACACGGACGACAACGGACAATCACTTATATGATAAGCTCCGCTCGACAAAGTCGACAGCGGAGCTAAAAATTTGTTTCTCAAATGAAACTTAAGTTCTGTATTTTGCTTTCTAGGTTTTAATTTGTCAACTGTTATGTACCGGTACATGCAACTGCATCTCTTGTCAACATGGCACATGGTTATATGCATAGTACCATAATACTTTTTCAGATGGTAAACATAAATAAAGAATTTTTTAAACTACTTTTATCGACATTTTTTTCCACCAAAATGTGGGTAAAACATTTTGCACATTTTTATCACTTTTTCTCTTCTAATCTCATTGTAAATTTTGAACCAACATAATTTCAAATTGGCTTTAGCTTTGAGTACACAAATGAAGAAGTATTATCGCCAATATACCTACCGGTTGTACCACCACCGGCATGTGTGTCTGCTGAAAGTACCCCAGGAAATCGAAGACTCCGAATATCAACACCAAATTTGTAATAATAATACTGAAAAAAAAATAAGATATAAAATTTAGCGATTTAGGCAGAGGATTTTCAACCCGCCCATTCACCTAGTTCATATCAATTATAGACTGCGGTCAGTCAAAATGACTATTTTGAACAATTGAACTGTAGGCATTAATCTGTGATTCAGCAAATGACAGAGAGAAAAATCTAGGTCATGGGAAGCCTCACGACCTCATAGATTTCCATTGTAACATAACACATGACCAAGGTCAAGAGGTCTGCGCCATCTTGTCTTATGTTCACTCCCCTGTTTTCAACAATATTTTGGATTACTTATTCGAAACTCTGTATAAATTTTGGACGCATATAATAAATTACAGTGGGGTTAGTATTTTCAAATCTCTCACCTCTCCTAGAAGTTCAGCGTGTACTTTTGATACACCGTAAATGGTTCGCGGCCTCTGGATCGTCACATCCGGCGTAGGATTCCTTGGTGAATCAGGACCAAAAGCACCAATTGTACTGGGACAAAAAACTCTGAGACGATATTGCTTGGCAAGTTCCATGATATTATGTACTCCTTGTATATTGACTTTAATCGCCAGAGGCACATCCATTTCTCCAACAGCACTCAAGAGGGCGCTGAAGTGTATGATCCAGTCTATATCGTAGTTGACAACTATCTCTTGTAAATTTTTAAATTCTAAGACATCTGCAAAAATGTAAGGTCCTTAAAAAAAAGAACAGATACCGGTAGTTGGTATTACGCAAGCAATGTATGCTATGACTCATTGTCAATAATAGATATTCCATTCATTACGAATGTTCATTCATCTAATGAATTGCATGAAATCGAACGTAAAAACAGTACAAACGAAGGTAATAACGTTGTAGTGGCGTCAAACATCACGTGGGATTCAACAAAAATTAAACTATTTTGGTGGTATTTCTACCCCCACATTTGATCACTGTCATCTATTTGAAAATAGTCAATTTCAATGGAGTAAAGATATTTTATTGGAGTAAAGATATCCCCACACCACATTCCTCTCTGAAAGATAGGAATTTTGACACTGAACTGTTAAAAAGAGAAATTAAAAAATCAAATTATTTGATTTTTGCGGCAGATGTTCAAACTGCATTTTTCACACATTATGCATAGACAATCAGCTATCAGAAAGTGTAACATTTGTAAGAAAGTACTTACATTAATGCTTACTTTCAAAATCCATTAAAGAATTAAAGGCAGTTTTGAGTCTACTGATCACAGAAGCAATTTAGAGTTTTGAAGCAGAGAAAGTAGAATTTTTGACTGAAACATTTTTAATCCATGTACCTCAAAGTATATGAAAGCAATCTTTTAAATTAAAGAAAATTTGATAATTATCTATGAAAAATAGATGCAGTCATGAAATGAACAAATCTAAGGAAAGACAAAATCTTGGGTATTTATGCAAGCATTTTAGATGTTCATAGTTTGGGGGAAATGAACAGTAGATAATTGGTTAATACCAATGACATCTGGAATCAATAAATTTTCACCTAAAATAGAAAATCACAGAAAAAGTTTTTTTATAAACATTTATAACAAGTTAATTTTGTTCCAGACAGACAAACAAACAGATTAGTTTTTAAGCAGATTAATTTTGAGCAGATTAAAGTCAGCTGCAACACTTTTGTGCAAATATACATGTACATAATGTTTAGGTTTCACACCACAAATACAATTTGTGTAATATCACATTATAGGCACTCAAGAAAATTCCACCTCTATTATGAGAATCACTTTTTCCTACTGATTAGTGTACATACCGGTAGCTTATTAGATATATCTGACTGTGGTTCCAGAGCTCCTGAGTCTCTCATTTGTGTTCCACTGACAAGATTGAGACAGTTGAAACATCGTAAGGTTGGGGGTGAAGGGTACTCTGAGCACCAAGACTAGGGATTCCCTGTATTCGACTGGCAAGTACACTAGAATGTCCAGAGACACAAAAAGCACACAAAAAAAAGAATAGAATTTCAGGCAAAGCTTAATTATCTGTGCTGCTTTGTTCAGAGAAAAGGATAGAGCTGAGTACCTAAGGTGGGTACCTATGATGCCCTGTGTGTTGCTCGGCAACTAAGGGTTGCACAAATATACAATTATCCAGAGATAGATAAGTACCGTAAAATCTGTATTAGAAGCCGCATCCCTAATAGAAGTCGCATCCATTCTATTTGAATAATTGAGAACCAAAAATTCATCATTTCTCATATGTGTAGATGCTCTAATAAAAGCCGCATCCCCTCTGTTGCATTGTACCATTTTAATAGAAGCCGCGGCTTCTAATACAGATTATACAGTAATGATAAATCACATATTTGTCTATGTTAGACAATATCTAGCTAACTATAGAGGGAGTAGTTGACTGGTGACGATAAAACTAATACCTCCCCCTAGACATCCTCAGCAGAACTATTTGACCGTTCCTAAGTAATAAGAAGTATTACTTACCACTGTCAAGAATATGCTTTGGCGGTTTTATAATATCTGACATTATTACGTTATCTCTTCCATATTTTTGACGCAAAAGTTTGGCCAATCCTTGACCTAGCTGACCTAGACTACCTAAAAATAAAGCAAAAAAATGGGGAAAAAAAATGTTTTAAATAATTATAATTAATAAAAATAATTGATATTTTATCACTGCACAATGAGGTTAGAAAAAACATGGCCATAAATTTATAAATGGCCTTACAATAATAAATGTAAAATCAAACTCTTTTAGATTATATTGGAGTTTATAAGATCAGCTACTGTGAACATATATTTTTTTTTCTTTCATGTTTTTTCGTTTTCCGTGTTTTTCCATTATTTGTGTGTGCCTTGTATTTTATTATTTTGTGAAAAAACAATAAATAAATATAAATAAATAAATAAATAAATAAATAAAAATGTAAAGAAATATTGAACAGCACTAAGGGAAACTCATAGGGTGTAAAGAAAATTGCATTTGATGCCTCTGTGAAGTCCTGCTAAAGATCCGAGTATTTAAAATTACTTAATCAATAAATCTGTGAGTGTTAATGGTATCAGATTGCATACTTATATTATAGTACAGCACATTTTATTTTTTGTTTGTTTGAAGCATGTATCAAGATTGAACATTGAAATTTATGAGTAATTGGGCCAAATTTGAAGAGCTGTTTCACAACAGAACAAAATCTCAAAAATATTAATAAAATAGTAAAAGTGAAAAATTATTAAGGTTAATTAGATAATTTAAAAAAAAAAAAACACATCATTAAAACAAATACTAATGGAGATGTGACACTTGAAATTAAATGGCTGTACCACATTCTGTTCATCACAGGCCTCATGGGATAATACTTTAGGGAATGTTAAATTTGTTTGTTTACACAATATTTGTATGTGTGATATGATGAAGGGTACATGAAGCACGAGTGGAACAAAGTGAGGAGCAGCATCTACATGAATAGATATACTGTAAACACTTTATTTACACAAAAAAATAATGTTTTCGCGAATTTTACATTTCGTATGTGTCAGTAAAAAACATGAAATTTGTTACCAATGAAAACATTTTTCTGGGGTTCTACAAGTGAAATTTTCTTCTTCAGGAATCATCAAATCGAGAACATTTCTAGGTTTTTAGAAAAAAGTATAAACTCCATCTTTAATTTTCAAGTATAATGTTCCAGATTACTACCTCCACATACATTACCTTGAAATATACTTGCACCACCACAGTTGAAATAGAGAAATGTTCAGCCAATCAGAATGCTCCAATCAACTATAGACCAAAACATATAATTACATTTGGATTTCCATTAATGTGAGGGAGGCGTCTCAGGCTTTGCAAAATATTTTGTATGAGGTTTTTCTCATTTTTGTTATGGATAGGAAACCTTTGCTGTTAGCATTGAGTCATTGCCTTGGATACTAATTAAAAATTACTGTGTAAAATTTGACACAAACCAGTGCTTGGTAATATGTCAACCAGACTCTTCAATTTTAAGAATTAATAGAATTTTGTTTGTTTGTTTGTGGCAAGCTTATAGTCTGATACATTCTCACTCCTGATGTGTTAGTTGTGGGTGGCAGTGCCAGGGATGAGGTAGATGTACACATCTAGGGACAGCGCCAATAAGGCATGCAGTGAATCAAAGTTCTAGTTGGAACAGTGCATACATGTATGATAACAGCTACAGATAGAGCGGTCAGATGAATATATATTTTCACGGACTTGCTTTGAAGTTTAGTACTGACAGACTAGCACAGATACTATGTGTCATAAAACAAATGACCTACTTAACTAAGCTAACAATAGATCACTATCGTATCCTGTAAATTTTTTATAATGAGAGAGATATCATTTGACACAAATTAAGTAGTTTTAAAGCGATAGGATGATAAAACTGACAATGTAAAACAAAACGTAACCAAGCAACACACAAGTCATTAAAATAAAGGAATTGATCAATTGACACTTGTGATACAACCAACATCACATGATTTCAATGTCAAATGTCGCACACGATAAATGGAACATTCATGTACATGTCGGTAATTTGAACGTGATGGCTCATTAGTCCCCATTGGACGAGGTCTGAGATAAGGACATATCGTACATGTATGTTCTGGGTTAATTCTGTCCATCCATCCATCTTCATTTCTTGTACTGTTCAAAGTTGGTGCAAAGACGAGTCATAATGAACACATTTGGTTGATCTTTGACTGACTGGCTTGCATTTGTTGCTCCAAAAATACACCAACAAGTTGTCATCAACTGTTTATGAGGCCGGCATGCCTGGACTGATTTCATCAAACTTGGTATGAACCGCAGATATGATCTTTTGTTTTAGAATTTGATTCAAAATGACCAACTAGTTTATGTGTGATTACACAAGTTCAAGGTATGAAGTTCATAGTTGATATTAAGGTATATATTCTCATTTTTTCATAGAAATTGAAGGCAAACACGTTGTGAATTAAAGCAATTGTTTTTGATGCCTCGGTGAATTCAAGTTTGTACGATATGAGAATGATCTTAGTTCTAATACAATGTAGGATGTATTTGAACACTTTCGCACAAAACCTGGATAAGGCGCTATTTAGAGTAACACCCTATTTTTACATACTGAATAACTCCCCTAACATTTCAATATAATTATAATCATTGACAATAATTTGTGTAACTTTAATTTGGTATTGCTCAGTCCTTATTTGTTCTTATCGGTAGTCAATCTCAATGGTTGATACAAGTCACATGTTTACATATCTACCAAATGGGTCCTGCATCATGTATGTGCCAATACTGAAATAGTGTATTTAACTAACTGTTACTGTCCGTCAATTACTGAGATACAATGGGTGACGGCAGCCTTACTCAAGGTGTCAGCAGAGGTGTTGAGTTAGCGACGTACATACTTCTCGGCCAATGAGTTGAATTCATCATTCTGATCTGTATTTCTCAACTGAGCAGCATGTCTAAGCGAAATAGTAATACATTTATATGGTAATTGATACACGTTTGCCCAGCTGCCCTTTAACACAATTACGCTAACGATAAAACATTTCAATTTATATAATAATAGTTAATTCCGACACATAATCAATTCCATATCAATGTAAATAGTTAATGATTTTCTAGTCACTGTATTTTAATTACAAGGACAGTACCAATACTGCAGATGCAATTTGTAGAGGTCATGGTGCATGAAAGAAATCAATGACATCTCATGTACCGTAGATTCAGTCTGTGTGTATACATGTATATTTTAATATGTATGTCTGAATCTACCTATCTAATTGGCTGATCAAGCAAGGTTTGGCACTTTTGGAAGACAGAATATCTTAACATCAATAGAAATTAAAACAAACAAAACAAATTAAAATAAATAGATAGTATAATCTGTGTGCAGCCAGAAAAATTTAATGCCAGTAAAATATTTGTAACTGCATGTACATTTTTTTGTTTATGTTACAATAACAGTTGAATATATCAATGTTATATTAATGTTGGTATAGCAAAGGATGTGGGCTCACTCTGAACTCTGTTGACCATGAGAAGCCTTGATTCTGAAAAATGTTTTCACTGTAGATTTCCACGATCATCTGGTGCAATATACAGTGTAGTATGTAAATATATAAATTTATAACCATACATCATGCTAATGTCAACTCCACACGAATTAACATTTTTAAGACCTCTATTTTAAGAATTACAGAGAGCTGGCTGGCTGGATGGATGGATGAATGGATGGAAATGTTTATTTCACTGATGATCATTGCTAGCATACAATGTATATAACAACCCCCCCCCCCCCAACCAAAAAAATAATATTGTGTTTCTTGAGATCTAAAAAATATTATTTGGTAAAATGTCTTTACAACTGTCGATTTAAAGCTGTAATTTTCTCCATGGTAAATATCATACTGAAATCTTTTACTCATTTAATTTTTTCACCACCAGACTTTCCCACCCAAATTTTCTGCACATTTTTTTATATTCTTCAATATTTCTGGAAATAAACCCTAAATTTGATGAAGAGACAGACTAAATTTGAGTCAATTTTCAGCTATTACTGAAAAAATAAATTGGCAGTTTTTGTCCCAATTTACTGAAGGAAGATACAGACTATAAACTATTTTGTGAATTTGGGATGAAAACAGAGAACTGGTGGTGTAAAGGTTAAAGCAGTTATTGTTTACTCCAACATGGAATTTGAAAAGACATGAATCAGAACATTACTGGAGGGAGGGAGGGACATTTTTCATATCAAGTTGTACCTTGTAGCCACATACAATTATCAGAAAAAAAAAAATGTTTTAATTGTCATGACAACGACAATTACTAATCATGCAATTACATACACATGTACACATGTTTGATTTTTTTCTCCTTATGCAATCAAACAAAATTCTGATATGTTCAAATTGTAAGCGGTTCAAAAACTTAGTCTACTGATATCGTCACTGATCATTGTTTCGAGTAAACCAAAGGTAAATATTCTGTTTATTGTGGCCTATTTTACACAGCTAGACAGGTCAGGGGTCAGTTTTAGTGTTGTGAAAAGCATAAAGGTAACAGGTATAAAGTTCATGGGGTCTTGCATTTTCCCCCCCACATAATAGGTGTCACAGTTTTTTTCCCACAAAGAAGCACTTAAAAAAATTCAAAAATTGAGAGCGCTGTTAATTAAACACTCATGGCTTGAAATAACTAATTTGATGACTGTTATAGAAATATTTATTATTAAAATGCAATTTTCAAAAAAATAGACCATGCTGGTAGCAATATGTCAGCAAAATTTCAATTTGTTTTTTTTATTGATAGATTTGCTGGTTAATAAAAATTGTCAATTTATTAATAACTTTTTTGATTATTTATGGATATACTTGTAAGCTAGTCGAGTAAGGTAAATTTTTCAGAATATGCTCAGTTTCCCATGGAATACAAAAATTAAATACAGATACACATTACATATGAACTCTATTTCATTTATAAAATTAATACTATTCGAACTCAATATGTTTCCCTGAAATATGGATAGAACACCACAATAAATATACCACATTAACAATGATGAAGACGTAGCTGTATGAAGCAGGGAATTGAATTGTGATGCAATTATGGATAACGTGGGATGGGATAGTAAAGCATAAAATTAAATCTCCTACAGTTAAAGCAGGGGAGTCGTCACCTGCACATACGTCAGATGGCCATAGCGTGTCATTGTTTACAAACAAGCGTCTACCCATGAGCCTTGCGATTTTAGCGCGTGTTGTTATGGTAGCCTGGGACTCAAGTCCCGCATGTGTGCAGGTGGCGACCCTCCCCACTTTAAGCTGTATGTTAAGTGGCTGAGTTTTTTTACTGCAACGGGTCCGTTATGGGTTCCATGCTATATATATTATTTTCACTCCTACCCTAGAGTGCCTGCATAGACAAGTAGAAATTAGGTTTCACTGAAATCTGATGTGATATCGATAGAACAACTACATTGTATAAATTGGCTAATTTATGTAAAATATTTATGTAATATATACTTCACATCTGAGAAGTACAGCACCCAAATATCAACATTCCTTGAAATCTGATGAATGGCTTTTGGGAGAAAGCTAAAAAAGTCTAATTCATGCAAATTAGATAATAAATATGCATACTGTAAAAGGGTTAATTATTCACTGGGTTTTAATTTAGCTTATTTCGCTGACTGGAAAATGCGCTAAATTAAAACCCAGTGAATATGTAAAATTGATCATAGAACACATTATCTAATTGATAAAACTGTGAATTTAAAACCTACTGAATATGCCTGAAATGGTAAATCAGTGAAATTTAAACCCAATGAAAATTAGTCATTTTACAGTAGATTGCAACCAAAAACTAACCAGACATCTTTGCACCAAGTTTCATTGAAATCTGTTGGGAGGCTCATGAGATACGTAAGATAAGTGAAAAAGCTTAAAATAGTTACATGTAACATGCAAATTAGATATGCACAGTTTAACGACCCAACAAACCAGATTGGTGGTATTACCCCGAGAACACCTGTCAGTTTATGCCAAATTTCATTGAAATCTGACAAGCGATTATTGAGATATCAAAAGTACATGTACATGTGTGTACCCAGTTTCTATAAATTCTAATGAGTGTTTTTCGATAAATGAAAGCAAGAATTTATCATGCAAATTAGGTAATTAGTATTCAGATTTTAGCTAAAAAATAATCACGTCTTCGCATTCTTCCTAGATATCTACCTGTGTACCAATTAAGTTTCACTAAAATGTTGTGTTTATTTCATGAGACATTGATGAGTAAACAAATAATTGGCTAATTACTATGCAAATTTGGTAATTAATAAGCACAGATTTCAATAGAAACCATGACGTACCAAGTTTCATTGAAAAGCGATGATTAGATCTAGAGATATCATTAGAAAAAAAACCGAGGCGATTTTAAGAAATTAAAATAGACCACAACAAGAAAAAGATGTTTGGCATACATGTAAGTACTCTCCTCTGCTGATGGTATGGTAGGTTGTGTTATTGTATAATTCAATAAAAAATACTGACAAGTCACAAAAAACATGAATATAGCATGTTTCCTGATAATTTGCAATACAAAGAATCAATGTAAAAAGATAACATTTTGCTGGGACAAATTAAAATATTTATTCTACGAAAAATGATGAAAAACTACTCTAGCACTCATTATTTACCATATGCTTTGCAGAAGCACCCAGAATGCATTATCTTCCTATGCAACATACATACAGTCTTAAAATGGGGTAAAGTCAAGTGGTCAGCAGTAACTTTGTTTCAGAAGAAATCAATGAAACTTAAAACACAGCTAGGATTTTAATTGTTGGACAATTTTACATGCAAGTATTATTTTAATAAATTTAGTCGTCTAAGAACCGATCCGAACTGAGTCAAGTGTTTAAACGATGGTGATTGTAGCACTGCGTCCTGTTTGATATGGGACTCATAACGACGTACACAACGCGTGTAAAATGTATTGTTTATCGACATGAAATCCGAACACGTGCTGCGCGACGACCACCGCCCTTTAAATAAAAAGAAATCAGCAGGCCACAGCCCATTTTTCACTCAAGCCAGAGTGTTCAGGTGAGGTTTTTGACACGTGCATTAATATATAAATAGACTACATATCAGAACACTGATAAGGTTATCGTATGTAAATGTTTACATAAATGTATAAAGGTTAAATGCTGAGTAAGCTACTTTATACAGTGTTCATACCATGTCATGAAAAGCTGATGTCAATTGCCCTATAAAATACTAGACAAGTAATGACCTGATCAATGGTTTTGTAAGAGATAATAAGAATGAACGAAATAAACCAAAAAATTAGTATTTTATTTAATTTGAAAGCATTTACGTGTATATGTATACCAATACATGTTACCGTGTGTACATACTTCAGAATCAAACAAAGCATGTACAAGAAACAACACCACATGCATATACTGAAGGGTTTTTACGACAGCAAATAGTCTGTGTTTTTGACCGGAACCCAATGATGACTACTCAGACCAACTCTAGACACACAAAGTTTTACCATCCAAGTTTTAATTACCTGTGTATGCGTGGGAATTAAGTTCCAAGTGACGTACACGCAGGTAAAGACTACCTCACTTTTAATGTACACACTCCTTGTTATAAATGTTTGTCAATGATGATAGATGTAGAGCAGACATGTTGCTTTCTTATCTGCTTATCTTTGTCGTATTTTTGTTCAAAAACCTTCCAAAACATAATAATAAGTCTATTCTACATGTACCATCGATTTGTGTAGTCAGTTTGGTCTATAAATCAACAATGTATGACAAGGATCAGTGTTACATAGTCTCCACATGTAATAAACTTAAAGCGCGGTGGTCGTCGCGCTGCGCATGTGCTACATTTGTGTGGATAAACATTGATTTTCCCACAATCCAATGCACTCTTCAAATGGAAATCACAAGTATGAGGTTTGACCTGGGCGCGACTTGCACTGAATACCGCTGGTTACTCCTTTTATATAACTTCCAACCACCTAAAATCACCAAATTAAAGCCTGGAAATGTCAGTTAGTACTCGTCGATCTGCGCAACAGTCAAAGTTGCCATCTATGTTTATATGTGACCCATACATCTCGCGCATGCGTGGCTCGACGACTATCGCCCTTTAAGCATCTTTTTCCGGAGATGCCCGATGGCCAAGGGGGAGGACGGTCTACGATGTGTAGCTAGGTGATTTGTTGCTATACACGAATGTTGGTTTGAGTCATTCACACAGTACATGTTTACTTTGATACAACATAGTATTTTACCAGGTTGCGGTTGGGTTCGGTCGGCCGCATTCCAACTTGAGTTAAGATTTCAGCAGAACAACTTGAACTTGAACTCTCACGAATCACTTGTTAACATAAACTGCATTTATTGGTGATCAAAACACTTCAAACGAAAGTGTAAACTTCTGATAATTATGTAAACTTGTAGAATGCCATAAAACATGAATGTTGCATAGTAAACAGATGAACTAACTGACCCAAAGTTGAGCACTGACAAAACTAGAACAGAATCATTTCACTTTTAAAAAGGGAAATGAACATTACAGCGTTTTCCATGCAGACGGAGGTCAACCAATCAGTGACTGCGTACTAAATTGATAATGAAATATCAGTCAACACCTTATTATTATGGTTTCAACGATATAGGTCATGCTTATTAACAATAAAACAAGATATTTGTAGGATTTTTATTTTTGCAAAATTAGGGACGACGTCAAAAGATCGATGTCGGATAAAAAACTTATTTCCTTTAGTTTGGGGGTGGGGGGTT